CCCTTCAGGCTTTTTCTGCTGGTGATACTCGTTTTGTTATCTTGACCAAAGGCCCGCTCTACTTTGTCGCTATCAGCAAGCTGGGCGAAAGCGACTCGCAGATACAGGCACAATTGGATGCGCTATATATGCAAATCTTGTCAACACTAACCTTGCCCAGACTAACTCATATTTTTGCGAACCGACCGTCAACTGACTTGCGAAAGCCTCTTGAAGGGACTGAGGGTCTTCTGTCTTCTCTGGCTGATACGTTCACAAAGGGATCCGCTTCAGCTTTGCTTGGATCTTTGGAATGTCTCCGACTTCGGAAGTCTCAACGGCATGCAATTAACAATACTTTCCTCAAACTGCGTACAGACAAGTTGCTGTATGGTCTAATTGTGGCTGGTGGGAAACTTGTCAGCGTCATTCGGCCTCGTCGACATTCACTTCATCCCAGCGACCTGCGACTTATTTTCAATATGCTCTTCGAGAGCGACGGCATCAAAGGTGGCGGTGGAGAGAATTGGATCCCCATTTGCCTTCCCGCTTTCAACAACAAAGGTTATCTTTACATGTACGTCAGTTTTTTTGACGGCACTTCTGGGGGTCAAGCTAGTTCTCCTGCCGCGTCACAAGGGCGCTCGTCAGAAGAAGAAATCGCAATGATTCTCGTAAGCACTGATCGCGAGAGCTTCTTCGAGTTGAAGCAGATGCGGGACAACGTCGCCCAGCAGCTTGCCAAAAATGGGACATTGGCTATTATTCAGAACGCCACGCGCCTTGGTCGACCAAAAATACACGAAATTGCTCCCGGGAGCCAAGTCAGCCACTTCCTTTACAAGTCGCGGGCCAATGTACAATTCTGCATGGCGTCATTGGAGCCGCACTTCACTGGTCTCGTTGAGCGCAGGAGATTGATGACGGTGTACCATGAGCTCCATGCATCCATTCACGCCAAACACTCGCATCTTAAAGTTCTGCACGCTGTTGGAGATGATGCAACCTCATTGGCCTGGACCACACCTGTGTTTGAGTTTTACTGTGTTGCTGGGCCTAATGTGTCGAGAGCGACCATTACACAAGGAGCGAACAAGATTATCCAGTGGGCCAAGAGGGAAGAAGAGCGCCTTTTCATCATTGGCGGTGGTGTATTCTGAGGGCATGCCTCCTATTGAGGTCTGGTTCCTCGGTAATCCTAAAATTCAAGACCCTTGGTCTTGCAATCGGTCATCTCATGGAGCCGAGCAGAAACAAAGTGCCTCCTAACGCCGACATTATTCGTTACTAGCCTTCCCACCTCATTAATAATTAAGATAAGGGTATGTGACGTCCTTCTCAACTCATCACTTCGATCCCGCGTTCGAACTTGGCAACCTAGTGACAGCAAAAACTTGACTGTCGTGGGTTGTTCGGCCGCCATCAGGTTCTGAGGGTGTGATGTTATCTGATAAGGGCGACGTGAGATCGCTTGTTGGGCTCTGGGCTGAGTGGCTCTCAAAATAGTCGTCCTTGGTGTCATCCTTGGAGTTGGACCGCGTGCGTACAGCTCCCCATGATCTCTTTGCCCACTCCAGGATGCGATCATTGACCTTTGACCGACGCTTGGTCTCTGATTCCCAGGAGGCATTGCGATGTTGAAGGGGTAATGGTCGGTCACCATCACAGCCAAAACTATTACGGCTAGTTGTGCCAGTTGAAGGAAAACTCATGGTGTCGGTTGCGAGAGTTGTTCTCGAGGCGTTCATGATATCCAACGAGAAAGGTGCATCGAAGTCTTCATGAAATCGGGGGCTGCGTATTGATGGGCTTTGAAGCGAAGACCCAGGTCGTTGAGATTCAAAAGGATCCCGAGCTGGGAGTGGGAGAGTGAGGGCGGGCCTTCGATCCGTCATTGTGGGCAAGACAAACTGAATCCGGTACCGAATGTTTGGTGTGGTGAGACTGGGTGTTGGAAGGTGTCGATGTTGACGCTGTCATAAGAAATGATCCACGTCCGCTGAGGATCGAGGATAAGAATCAAAAAGTTTGCTTATCCTCCAAGCTCGGAGCTGAGAGAAGGAGGTTGTCTGTCGTTGATGCTTTGTTGACTGTCTAGAGCCGGGCGAGAAGGCAAAGGGTTCCCTTTTGTTCAATTTCAAAGGCCCGTTAAACATGTGTATCCGACATTAGCTTGAGCTCAAACAAGTCCAAGTGCGCGATAGACCCCTGACTAGGCTTGGACAAGCAATCATGGAGTCAACCAAGTGGGCTTCACAAACTGCGGGGATGGTACGGTGACCAGTTGAATGGCAGAGATTGCCAGGCTCTGCTAGCTAGAGTCGTCCACAAGGACGGAAAATCTTGAAGGGTGGCCGAGGCATTTGAGTTGTGATAGAACCCACACACCAAGAGTAACAATAGAAACATCAAACTTTCCACCACATTTTAGGCTTAAATCTGAAGGAACAGATGATCCTTTCTATGACGGTGCTTTGAGAAAAGCATTGGGATAAAAAATTGGGCTTCTTTCTTCAACAGCATTTCGCTCCCCTTGATGATCTACAGACATCCCCAAGATGATCACTTTCTTGATCCCGTATTATAGCCCAGCCCAGCTACCAGGGTTAACCAAATCCAGGCATGTAATTGACGTTTTTGGTGGGAAACAATTCAGGAAGTGCCACTCTAGACCCATCGAACCAACTGAACCCTGTTGCCGAGTCAGATGTTTGAGTTAGGCTCTATGCGGCAGCCCGTTTTCGGTACGGGGTTCCGGTCCCGTCCTTACACTCCCGAGTCCAGGTCCCTTGCCAAGGGTTGCCGCAAACCGCTTTGCCTTTGGACGTGTCCGAAATTGGTGAGTCACGCTACACACGGAGGACACCCATTTGAAGATGCCAGTGGCATGAAATTGAGTCTGGACCTAGGATACCGGTTGCGGAGATGACTCGGAGAGCTCTTGACTTGTGCTTATGCAGGCTTTTATTATGGCTAATTCATTTAGGAACTCGCATGACAATAATAGAAACCCGTGACCAGTCTCTCATATTGAGGTTCGTGATGCACGTGAGCCCTTATCGGCGGTGAAGGTGGCCGAGATGTTAGTTTATCGCACGGACACATTCAACTTGTTAGGGAATTGACAACGCCTTGGGCATGATAGGCACGTTATGTTAGCGAACCAATTCGTATCAGTCAATGCGTTGGCATAAATCTTGACGCCCAATGCCGCTCTTTACGAAGGAGGAATTGAGCGCCACCCACGTCGATATGCATTCATTGACGAGTAAACATCCTCATTGCCTTCATTCATCTGGTGGCGTTTCATATCATCGGCATTGCAATCGCACAGATGGCAAGAGTGTTGCCGATCTTTACGCCGTCGTTGAAACAGGCCTTTAGAGGTGGGTCTTTATCTTCGAGCAGGCACACCACAGACAGCCAACAACAAGAAAACTTGAGATGTGAAGAGTGATGCCAAAATAAACTCAGCAAATAGTCCCCCAAGCTTAGGCTAAATCACCCAAATATTTTTATCACTTTGGTCGTGTAAACATCCCGAGGTTGTCTGCCTCCCCTAAGGTCAGGTACCTTAGCTTGGTGATGACTTCGTTGCATGTCACGAGGAAGGAGCTGTCTCTCTGGCCTCAACTTTGGCACCATTGCCTGTCCTGCCCGAACTTGCCCGGCTACTAACAAACGGTGGCATCTAGGTACTTACTGCCTAAAGGACACTGGGCACCTAAGTGCCTGCTAGGTTGGTATTCCCTACAAACCGCAACAACTTTAGGTAGGTAGGTAACTCCTCCTTCATATTCATCCGGGTGATAGCAACATCAAGACCAACCCTCCAACCCAAATACTGGTAAGTGCAGGTGTAATTGCAAGAGCATGCATCTTGAAAACAGGAAGGATTCCAACAGTAGACTCCTCATACTTTGGTAGGTGATTTTTCTCCGAAGGAAGGATCCTTGCCGCAAGATGACCTCAACTTCCATCAGATCTCAATACTTCGTCTTCACTAATAATCATTCTCTCGAGAATGTGTCCATCTTTTGCCTGTGACTATTGCCATTTTGGCTTGTAATCGCCTACTCCGACTTTCTTGGTCTTCTTGGTCTCCTGATCGGTAAATGATCAGTCGAATATTCCTTGTCTATCTTATTCCCCCATTTGCATTCCATGCAGCGACAGCCTCAAGTTGTTAGCGAGTGATCATGGACCTCGGTGATTCCAGATACAGATCAGTCAGCCAAGCTTCACTGCACAGCGCCTATCAATCTCATGAAACACGTTCCACTACCCCGAGGCTACGGTCTCCGTCTCAACCACGACTACCCTTCCAGAGCTTGAACGACACTTCGGCTCTCCTCCGCTCTACCGGTCCTCTAGAGAGCATGCTCAAGACGACAACAGAGACCGGAGATCTTGGTATCTACTCCATCAATTCCGGTTTACCTTCAAATACACCTCGACCCGTTCGCGCAAGAGTCGGTCATAAAAGAGTGAGGCGGCCAGCTCGCCCTTATTACGATGAAGTTAAGGACGGTCCAGTTCGGGACGACCGTAGATCGCTACCCTCGTATCGAGACACGACTTCCGAGATCATTTCATTATATGGCTCTCCTGGAGTTCCTCATCCCAGATCTTTTTCTTCCGCGTCAGAAGGCCAGCGAACACACTCTCTGACAACGTGCAGTTCAAGACGGGTTCCTTCTTTTAAATCATCCGGTACCTTTCACAGTCAACAAAGCAATAATGGCCATCAGCGCCCTCGCTCACCATTTCCATATCCCACACGTCTGAGACGGCCTGGTGTCCGGCCTTCTTCTCCAGCAGTGACAGATAATGGTCTCGTTGATCACAGGAGAATGGTTGAGATTGACAGGTCTTCGCATGTCAGTAACTCCCCCTTGTCTCACATTCAACCCCAGTCTGACTGTTAACAGCGCATGAAATACAGTTCTCACTTGCATAGGGGTTATCGCAAGCATCGACGATACCCTCCCTTGTCCTTGAGGCCCGAATTCAGCCGATCAATGTCTTCATTACCCCCGCGCTCCTCATCCGCACCTTATTACGGTTCAAGGGCCAATCTGTCAAGAAGACCCAGCGGTGCGGGATATCCGCCATCGAAATCTCCATCCTTTCAGTATATTCCTGGCGATCACAGTGTTCGATCTGCCAGTTTGACTTCCATCGTGGACATGTATCACGGCAGGACCCCAGACGATGCCACGCAACCTCTCCGTTCACCAAGCTCGTTTTACTACGATTATACTGAAGAGTTTGACAAAGGATTCCCGTGCGAATTTGAGTATGCGTCCACAATTGGCTCTCCTCAAGGACATACTATTGGCATATTGAGGAGAGATGACATGGAGGAAACAGATGCGGCGTTCCCGGCCAGCTTCCAAGGTATGGATTTTGCTGATGAGTTTGATGAAACTAACAAGTTTAGATTCTTATGGAAGCTCAGCTTTACGTGAAAACAAACAAACCTCGGTAGCTTCGGTGCCTATGTATGGCAACTTGCATGCGTCCAGTCCTAAGCGGCAAGAATTTTATGATTCCGATTTTAATTCTAGTTGCAAGGAAACTCCGTTCTCCATCAAAAGAACCCAACAGTCTCCAATGCAGCCTGTCTGTGAGCAACCAGCAACGGAGAAGCTGGAAGACAGCCGCTTTTAGCAAAAGCAACCAGGTACTTACAATGGTGGGCTTTCAAGTTTCCCCGAGCCCTGCTGTACCTCAGATGTATCAGCTATAGGGCCTGCAATACGCGACATGGATACAAAACCTCGAGGGGAGCAGCCGAAGGAAGACCACCTGATGACTTCCACTCTAGCCCAGTGCAGCTCTCCCGTACTATCTATCGATACGAGCGAAGACGACTGGGTTTGGGAAGGTAGCCAAAAAGAGAAGGGTTCTAGTGGACATGACACGGTTCGGGAAAATCCTCCTCCTATTCCACCAAAGACGGAAGCTCGATGCCCTGACAAACCTTCGTTCCATATGGGAAACGAAGCGGTCTCTATGAAACCAAAGCTCCATGGCGCGCATCATCGCCGAACCCCCGCCAACGCAAACATTAAGATCCCGAATAAGAACGATATGGCCTTACCGAAGCAAGACGTGCCCCAGGAAGTGCCAAAAGCAGATATAGGCGCTGGGATCCTTTCACCTAACCCAGTCTCACCAGCACATCAGTTGAGAGTCACGAACAGTATTCCGCAGTTGATGAAGGCTCTGCCACCGTTACCTGATGAAGCACAATACAATTCCGATCTCCAATGTTGGAGCTCATCTAGACATACCACAGCCCACGCATATAAGATGTATGCCAGCAGTCCTGCTAATAATGCTATTCGCCTGGAGTCTAAAGTAGGTGTGGATACGATGTCTTCAAAACCAGTATCAAGAACAAAAGACTCGACAAAGCCAGCTTACCATCCAACCCTGTCCAATCCCTCTCGGTTCAAAGTTCGTCTAAGCTCGTCTCAGTCAGGGCTTCAGAGCAAATGGAGCCTTGATTCTCCGGGCATTCCTGAGAGAAGCTCCAGTAATCCTATCAAGCCAAGACTCAGACTCAAAGTGTCTCGAAGTCGAATGAGCAATAAGCTAATGGGCCCTGATGGAACAAATGTGCGCAACAGCCCTCTCAAGCAGTACAGCTCTCTCCTAGAGTTGAAGAACTTTCCTCATAGAGATGCTTTTACAGATCGATCCAGCTTTAGAGAAGCACTGGAAGAGCAACTCGCCCAATTTGGTGTTGATAAGCGACTATCTAATATCGACGAAGGAACTATCCGAGGACCTTCACGGCAGTTGTCTGACCAGTTTGATATTCCTTATCCCCCTTCAACTAAGGGTATAGTAACGGCGGAACTAGTGAGTCAACCGAAGTTTGATAGCGGGCTTGGCATATTCGACAGATGGGACTTTGACAAAACACTATATTCAGGGAAGAACTTCATAAGGAAGAATTTTGACAGAACTATCTATTCAAAGCCCATGAGGAACAAGTCGTCTTTTCTTCGACACCGGGCTTCGCCGACGAACATACGGAAAAGGCCAAGGGGCCCAGCCAACCTCAGCGACCCTACACCATTACGGTCTGAGATTACTCAGGGCAGCTCTTTTGAAGATTCTATGCTAACACCGAGCGTTATGTTGCCACAGAGAATACGCAATAGAACACGGCGAGTGAAGCGCTGGGCAGCAGAGGCAAAGCGGGCAGTCCAAGCTTTAGTGCGACGAACTCTGAGCCGATCTCAGTATTCGGGTTCTGAAGGATAACATGGTGACTATTTCCTGTTGAATTCAACCAAAGTGAGACTATTCACTACCATGACTGAATGTTATAGATTATTTTGTTGGTAGTTGAACACATTACCTAGTTGTTGTAACGGCATGAAGTACAACGGCATTATGTTAAGCATTGATACGTTGAGTAACTTGAGGCAGAACTAGCATTAGATGAAACATATGATCACTTGGTCTGAGGCAATCATGGTGATGAACGAGACCAACTAGTCTGGCAGAGTGAATGTGAGTAGATGTATTATGTATATGACATGGCTAGGGGAGAAAAGAAAACTTAAGATCTTAATCCTAAATAATAAAATAATTTAGGTAATTTAGGACAAGTTTAGGATATATTTTACCGACTTTATTTTTAATACCCTATATTTAAGTCTGAGTTTTCTTATCCTCTAGGGTATGGGTATTAGTAGATTTAATTAGAAAAAAGCTTATAAATCGTCATGTAATCCAAGTCGTAAAGATCATTACTGCTTGGTAGAGACACTCATATCTAACCAAGCTTCGCATCGCCCCCGTTGGCCCTTGTCCACACTCTCCATGGTGTTGTTGTTCAACTCAAAAACTAGACGTCGCTGGTCATCACCCCAATTCTCCCATCGAGGAGCATCCTTGTCACGGTGAGTGTTTGGGTCGAAGCTACGGACAAAACTGATCCAGTAGTTCTGAACAATAGGGACCATGGGCGCGTTGTAAGTGCGATAGCTGGGGCCAGCTTTGGCAGCTGTCATATCAGGGCCAAAGACGGCGGGCGCATTGGAGACATGGGGAACACCGTAGCCGTCGTTTGTGAACTCTTCAATGGCAACATTATAGCGATAGGACCAGAGGGTCTTGGGGTCGGCGTGCTCAGCGAAGGCGTTGAGGATGTTGTTTGTAGGGCAGATAAAGGTCGCTTCGCCGTATGCACGCGAGGCTGAGGGGAACCACGTATCGTGTTTTGCGATCTTGGGCTCTTGTGGGTAGAGGTCGATAATAGTCTTGGTATCATCTGAGGTCAAATAGGGGTATTCATTCTGCATGTAGCGTATGAACTGGGCTGAGCTGCCTGCGTTGACGGCATAGTTGGATCCCTCTAAGTATAGAGTTAGTAATGCAACATGAATGTCGGTTCGAACACATACCATTTGTGCAAGAGCCAGATAGGAGTGGTACCTTGACAAATTCGCCCTTCTCGTAGAGCTTAGAAGGCAAGTCTGGAAACATGTCACCATCAGTAGTGGGTGCCCAGTAGAAGTAAGATCGATAAGTGCGGCCGTCGAAGGGAGCCTTTGCGTTATGGGTTTGAAGGTCTGTCGACTTGATTCCGCGGAGGCACTTCAACGTGTCGTCGGCTTCAGCACAGTCTGTAGCGTTGACAACTCGATCAAACTGATACTGGAGATCGTCAGGGCTAGGGAGACCAGGCATGAATGTCGACTCAGCAATGGCACCAGCAAAAAGACCGTCGTCTCTTCCACCATAGGCCACGAGTTGAAGGGCTACAGATCCGGCACCGGCAGATTCGCCATGGAGGATAACATGCTCAGGATCACCGCCAAACTCCTCGATGTGTTTCTGAATCCAGTTGAGGAGGAATCTCTGATCCATTAACCCTGCGTTGAGGTCACCATCTTCTTTGACCTCCTTGGAAGCGAGGAACCCAAACATGCCAACACGGTAGTTGAAGTTTACAAAGACGATGTTGTTGTTCGAGGCCGAGATGAGCTGTGTGCCGTTCACGTAGGGAGAAGCGTTCTTAATGTAGCCACCTGATTGGAAGAAGACCATGACGGGGAGTTTCGAACCAGAGGTTGCATTTGCAGGAGTCCATATGTTGGCGAATAGACAGTCTTCGTTGATGCGCGAGCTGAGACCGTCGTTGACTCCTGGGCAGTAAGGGGCGTACTATAGAGAATGAGATGTCGTCGATATGTGATGTGAGCTGAATTGCATTTACCTCTTGAGCCTTTAGTGTTCCGGTTGTGGACTCAGGTTCCTGAGGTGCTTTCCATCTAAAATCCCCCGTTGGAGCTTTTGCGTAGCGTATTCCGAGATACTCATGAATATTGCTTTCGAGGACATTGCCTTGATATTTGGAGTAACCCAGATCCACAAAAGGTCCTTCTTTCTTCTTTTCGGGTTCTTCTTTATCGTCATCTGAGCTATTCCCCTTATCTTTGTTATTATCATTGTCATCTGAGTCGTTGTTTGGATTATCGCTGGGTTGTGGAGAGGGAGTTTGGTCGGTGTTGTCTTTGGCAGCGGGTTTATCGACATTGTGTTCCTTTGGAGAACACAGGCTTAGTCGTGCTTGAGATTGTATACTACAGACTGCCAAAGGCTGGGTGTGCTTGAATGATCAGTTGCAACATACCTTTTTGAGTCCATAATACAGCCCCAGCGTCAAGCTCAGTATTAGCACTATTAGGAACACGATTGCACCAATTATGAACCATTTTTTCCGGCTGGGCTGATTTTTTATTGCCGCTCCATCATGAATGTTGTTCGCGTTATTGGGTGTATGTACAGAATCTTCTTCAGAGACAGGATCCGACTGTTTCGGAGCGGCTGTCATTATAGTTGAGGAACTCGGTCTCTGGTGTTTTGAATGTGGGCGGTTCAATAGCCAGGGCTTTATTGAGACCTCGGATGATGTCGAGTTGTTTAAATACGACAGTTTCATTGATATGAGATCACAAAATAGACAAAGAAACACGAAACAAAGAAAACGAGACTAATTGAGCTGACAAGAATATACGAAGGAATACCAAGCGTTCCCTTGCCTACTACTCCGAGGTAAGGTAGCTTACCGATAGTGAGTGTTGGCTGGCCCATGTAAGTTGAAAGAAACGGTTTAGACCCTTGCTGTTTTTTAGTGTTAGTCGGCCGTCACACCCGCGCCAGGGGCCAGAGGTACTTCATATTAGCGGGCGGTTAGGTAGAGGTGGAAAGTATAGCCAAGAGCCAAGAATTCAGAGTGAACCCGTCTTATGGCCAGGTATCTTGAGGCATTATTGGTTGGATTGGGGGGGGG